GGCAGCTGTACCTGCTTAGCCACAACACCAGCCCCATGTATCAGTTCTTCATTCCTTTGTATGACTGCATAATTATCCACATATGGACATAACACATCTTATTTATTAAGAAACACTTGAGTCGTCTACCTTTTAACTATTATAAATAATGTTGGTATAAATATTAGTGTACAAATTTTTGCTTGAATACTTGTTTCCAAATCTTTTCAGTCCATACTAGGAGTTGAATTATGGGATCATTATATTTCTATGTTTAAGTTGTGGGGTTACTGTCAAACTTTCTTCACAATGCTGCATCATTTTACGCTCCCACCAACAACGCATGAAGATTTCACTTTCTTCACATTCTTGTCAACACTGGTTATTTTCTGTTTTTTTTTTTTTTTTTAAGTATGACTATCCTGGTGGATATGAAGTGGTATTTTATTATAGTTTTGTTTTATATTTGTGTAATAACTAATGATGTTCAGAATTTTTTCATGTACTTATTAGCCATTTGTGTATATTCTTTGGAAAAATGTCTTTATCTTTTGCCCACTTTGAAATTGGGGTTGTTTCATCTTTTGATTGTTGAATGTAAGAGTTCTTCAGATATTCTGAATACTAAACACTTATCAGATATATTATTTTCAAATAGTCTGTCTCATTCTGTGGGTTATATTCTTGCTCTGTTTTAAGTGTCCTGTGATGTACATTTTTGACATTGGTATTTTTGTTGCTGATGTTGTTTGTGCTTTTTGTTTCATAGAAAACCACTGCCAAACCCATGGTCAAAAAGATTTGCTCATATGTTTTCTTCTAAGAGTTTTAAAGTTTGGGCTCTTGAATGCAGGGTTTTTAAGCTATCATTCTGAGCTTATTTTTATTTGTGAGATGAAGTAAGGGTCCAATTTCATTTATTTGCTTAGGGATATCCACTTCTCCCAGCACCACGTGTTGAAGAGACTATTTTTTCCACTGTTGAATGTATCCCTTGGCAGATATGTCTACCAATGATGTATAGGAAATCTCATTATCTCTTACTCCAACTTCTCCTCTGAGCTACAGACACTGATGTAAACAGCATTCAACCTCCCCACCCCAACACTCCCCAAACAGATCTCATAGTCTGTACCTTCTAAGTGTGATCATACTCCATTGTTCTTTTCTGAGTACCACCATTCATCTAGTTGTGGAATCTAGAAACATCTTGCTCTCTGTCACTCTTTGTATCTGGTTCCTGTCAACTGAATCTCCATAAAATATCTTGAATCTGTCCAGTTCACTCAAGTTCCTCTGCCATTTCTAGATGAAGTTACTATAGTCTAATTCTGCACTACTTGTATACTTTTAATCTAGTCCCTGGGGATATTTTTTATTTTAAGATTCATTTATTTCTTTGAAAGGCAGAGTTACAGAAAGGCAGAGGCAGTGGCAGAGAGACAGAGAGGTCTTCCATCTACTGGTTTGCTCCCCAAATGGCTGCAACGGTCAGAGCTGGGCCAATTTGAAGCCAGGATCCTGGATCTTCTATATCTCCCATGTGGGTACCAGGGCTGAAGGACTCGGGCCATCTTCCACTGCTTTCCTAGGCCATAGCAGGGAGCTGGATAGGAAGTGGAGCACCAGGACTCAAGCCAGCGCCCATATAGGATGCCAGCACTGCAGGCAGTGGCTTTACCCATTGTACCACAGTGCTGGTCCTGATCGCTCTCTCTCTCTGTTGGTTTTTTTTTTTTTTTTTTTTTTTTTTTTTTTTTTTTTTTTTTTTTTTTTGACAGGCAGAGTGGACAGTGAGAGAGAGAGAGACAGAGAGAAAGGACTTCCTTTGCCGTTGGTTCACCCTCCAATGGCTGCCGCGGCCGGCGCGCTGCAGCCGGCGCACCACGCTGATCCGATGGCAGGAGCCAGGTACTTCTCCTGGTCTCCCATGGGGTGCAGGGCCCAAGTACTCAGGCCATCTTCCACTGCCCTCCCTGACCACAGCAGAGAGCTGGCCTGGAAGAGGGACAACCAGGACAGAATCCGGCGCCCCAACCAGGACTAGAACCCCGTGTGCTGGCGCCGCAAGGCGGAGGATTAGCCTAGTGAGCCGCAGCGCTGGCCTCTCTCTCTTTTTTTAAACAAATAGTCTCCTCCTCTCTATGTCACCCATCCCTTCTGTTAGCCAACCTTGCTTAAAATTCTTCAGTAACTTCCACTACTACAGATTGACGATAAAAATGGTAACAAAGGTATTCTAGGTTCTGAAGAACCTATTCCCACCTTCCTCTCTAGCCTGAGGATGCATCTTCACCCAGGTACTTCCAGCTCTCAACCTGCAGGTCTCACCTCAAATGTCACTGCTCAGTTGGCCCCTACACAACCAGGTCTTCTTGCTTATCATAGCACATGGAGCACTTCTTTTGTAGAGTTTTATACTATATGAAATTGTATATATGTGGGATTATTTGATTAGTCTATTTCCCTCTAGAATGAAATCTCTACAAAGTCTATATTTTCTAGCTGGAAAATTCAAGACTCTCCATTATCAGACCTTTCTAGTCTTAGAACTGTTCTCCTTTCCACTCCTACCCTCAAATTTTGATAAAATCCTAGAAAAATTCTGACATAATATTCTGTTTATACTGTTACTTACTTGTTTCCTTTTATTCTGTAATTCTTGTGTCACACTAATAGATTCCCACTCTTCATTCAATGACAGAGATTTAATTTTATGAAGTCCCTACCATGCACCAACTTTCCTTATGATAAATAACCTGCCATGCTGGAGAAGCCCAAGTGTCATAGCACTTCAGGTAGCCTCTGACAGAAAGCCAGCAAAATGCTGGGACTCTCAGTCATGCAACTACAAGGAAACGAATTTTGCCAACAACCTGAGTGCCCATAGAAATTAATTCTTGCCCAGGCAAGTCTCTAGAAGCGAATGCAGCCCTGGTCAACACCTCAACTGCAGGCAGCCCTGTGAATCCTGGGCAGAGGACCCAGATGCACCATTCCACATTGTTTACCTACAGAAACTGCAATAATAAGTGAGAGTTGTTTGAAGCTGCTAAGGCTTTCTGATTTGTTATGGGGAAATAAAAAAATGGATACAGACTTTAAGCCAGATAAGATGTTTTTATTGTTGTTGCTGTCATGTATTTTTTATGTTTTTGACAAAGTGGCTTAAATACCTAACCCTTTAGATATATAACTGACAGAATACACTAGTTAGAACAAAATTTAAATGTGTTTCTAGCCACCTCCCCAGTAATATAAAGTGACAATAGAATGCTGCAACTTGACATGCTCTACTTCATAGTAGGACATGTAACTTTGTTGTTGTTGTTACTCAGACTTATTGTTAGGACACTCTGGCTCTTAATGAACCAGTTGCTCCCCGATGAAGCAGAAAACATATGCAGAAACAGAGCAGTTTTGTGGATCAAAACACAACCATAAAAGAACAAATGAAAGAGTGCATTTACTTAGCAACACACAATCACACATAAAGCAGTTGACAGCCTGTTTGTGCCACAGCGCATCCTTTGCCTCTGCTACTTGAGTTAGGCAGGATCTTCTCATATGCATAATTTTATAATAAGGGGTTGATGACCCAGCATCAAATAAGTCATTGCTATGACTGATATGGTCAATTTATATATAATAAAAACAACAGAGGGATTCAGAGCCTCTGAGATAATTTAAAATGAAAATATTATGCTTCTAGTTATACTGTTCATCTTGATTATAAAATAAACTCACAAGTAGCATAGTAAAAATATATGATAAAAATATAACTCTACAACATTATTTTTATCTAATATGCTAGACTTAATAAATATAATCATTTAATTTAAGGTAATCTTGTTAAGAAGCTAACATGCTCCCTATGCAAAAACCTAGAAAAAATAATTAGAAACCTTTATTGCTATGAAAAAATAGAATTCAAATTCTGAAATAGAAAACCAGTGGAAAAGATGCGACCATATGTTAAAAGACTAAGTTTCCCTGGTCATGTTATAATTTACCCGCAAAATAAGAAATAGGGTAATGGTCAAAAATAAATCATAACAATCTACACCTATAGGTTAGTAAAAGGGAGGAAAGCTCAGTAGATGCTGGGAATGATTATTCCTGCACATATATTTAATATACTAAAATTCTTTGAAAACTAGGTGTAGTTTAATTAAAACTAGGATGTTTATTGTTAAACATAAAAGAGACTTCTCAAACCAATAGCCTGTGTGCATACTGTTTTCACAGGTAGTTTCTAGATGAATTCCAGTTTAAACCCACTGTTTGATCAAAGTCAGCTGATTTCACCTTCTAAACTTATTTCAAGCTTATGATAGCTCAGGTTTTGAACATTCTTACCTGTCCTACTGAGCAGTCTCCTAAATGATGTTGGTGTTCTTGGCTTAATTCATCTTGAATCCAGTAATTCTTACTGTAGTCAGAATTATCTTTCTAAATTTTATCACTTCACCTCCCTATTTGAATCCTACTTCCAGGGCTGGCACTGTGGCACAGTAGTTTAAGCCTTTGCCTGCAGTGCCGGTATCCCATATGGGCTCCAGTTCAAGTCCTGGCTGCTCCACTTCTGATCCACCTCCCTGCTAATGGCCTGGGAAAGCAGTAGAAGATGGCCCAAGTCTTTGGGCTCCTGTACCCACGAGGGAGACCTAGAAATTCCTGGCTCCTGGCTTCAGATTAGCCCAGCTCTGGTCATCGCAGCCATTTGGGGAGTGAACCAGAGGATGGAATGCATACTCTCGCGCGCTCTCTCTCTCTCTCACTCTGCCTTTCAAATAAATAAATAAATCTTTTTAAAACACCCTACTTTCTTCACAGCTCCCAACTGTGTTTGTGATCTGGCCCTGCTCATCTCTGTTGCCCATGTCCTGCCCTCCCTACCCGGCACTTGTTGGTGCTGTGTACACTATTTCCAGCCTCCTTTCTAGGAGGAACTTTATCCACCTCTCCCTTTTCACCAGGCCTATTTGTATTAATTGTTACCCTCATCTGAGGGGCTTTACCTTCTGTTTTTCCTCTAGGATGCCTTCTTGGATAGTACTCTACCTCTTCGGGTTGCAGCTAATGCCTCTCTCTGTTGCTGCCATGACTCCTTGTCCACATATCCATTCCTTGACTTTCAGCACATTGTTATTCCAGCTCTCTTTCCTACTCAATGAGCGTGCTCCTCACGGTGACCCTTAGTGCATATCACACAGGAAGTGATAACTGTTCAATGGAAGAATAAGGAAAAGTGAAGATGAAGGATCAAAGTGAATCCCGTAACTGAAGCACAGAATGGAGCGGAATCTCCTGTGGACGCCAGCTGAACCAAGAGGCAGTGGTCAAAGCACTGCCCACCACTAATCATAAAAGAAACTCAAGCAAGGCTGGCACCGCGGCTCACTAGGCTAATCCTCCACCTTGCGGTGCCGGCACACCGGGTTCTAGTCCCGGTCGGGGCGCCAGATTCTGTCCCAGTTGCCCCTCTTCCAGGCCAGCTCTCTGCTGTGGCCAGGGAGTGCAGAGGAGGATGGCCCAAGTGCTTGGGTCCTGCACCCCATGGGAGACCAAGAGAAGCACCTGGCTCCTGCCTTCGGATCAACGCGGTGCGCCGGCCGCAGCGCACCGGCCGCGGCGGCCATTTGGGGGGTGAACCAACGGCAAAAGGAAGACCTTTCTCTCTGTCTCTCTCTCTCACTGTCCACTCTGCCTGTCAAAAAAAAAAAAAACAAAAAAAAACAAAACAAAAAAACAAAAAAAAACCTCAAGCAAAGCTGAACTTCCACATCTAAGATATCCTACAGAGCTTCCCAAATCGGCTGATATATACACTCTGAAGATGTGCTATTCGCCTTTCAAACTTGAAAATCCAGGCCTGATGCACAAAATGAACGTCAGCTACATTTACCTAAAAGTTGAAGATGGTGGTCTCATTTTATTGTCTTCCAACAAGGAAGCTGGGGGCAGAGAGTGTAATGTGCAGGCCTCCTGCTTGTTCAATAAAGATTAAACTCTTTTTTTTTTTTTTCAAGTCATAACCAGTTTTATTGCAAAAGGACCCTGTACACATTTATTTATCAATTCTAGTACCTTAATAGCTACCCAACAAGTCTGTAACACGGAACATGCATGAGAAGCGAGATCACCCATCCCTTCTGCAGATTCGCGACTTGTCACTCCTGAGCGACAGTGCGCGCACTGAGGGCTGACAACAGTCACTTTCCGCATTCATCCTGAGTGAAAGATGGAATGACTTAAGTACAAATGCAACATATTATAAACAATTTCTTACAAAAAAAGTCACAAGTTTAACCAAAGTATTTTACAGAATTTACTACAAAACGCCGTAAAAACCGCCTCCTCTTAAGCTCGCTCTCCCCGTATCCGGCGGGCCAACTGGATGTCTTTGGGCATGATGGTCACTCTCTTGGCGTGGATGGCACACAGGTTAGTGTCTTCGAACAACCCCACCAGG